CTGTGAGCTCTCAGTGGCAGGTAAGAATGGAAATGAGAGGGAATGTGGGGAGGGGGACAGAATAGTAGAGGAAACTTCACTTCTCCAGGAGTGAAAGAAGAGTGTTTCAGCAGAATTAGAGGCTGCTGGCCATTGTCTGGAAGATACAGTGAAAATGGAGATTAGTGAGCAAAAAACAAGAAATAATAATAACCAGTAAAATAAAAGATATTAGAATACTTTTGGTCCAAACTGAATTAAAGCTACTTTCAGCCACTTGCAATTCAGTGCAAGACTTCTGCCTTAACATTTGTGTTTATGAAGCTCAAAACATTTCAGTTGTTGGTAAAATTTTCATACATTTCATACATTTCCTAATATTCTGACCCCCTCATTTACTGTATGTAGCTAGGGAGGACAAAAATATAGAGATGTTTCTGAATATAATATAATATAGTACAACACCATCTTTAACTATGACCTCAATAATAAACATATAATTGAATTTGTACATTTATGGCAATTAGACCAAAAACTAAACCATAATAATAAATACAAATGTTAAGGCAGAAGTGTTGCACTGAAGTGCATACAATTGTACTGGTGTCCCTAATATAGTGGCCAATGTATGTATATACACACACAGACAAGCACTAATCTTCCAACCAGTGTTTCTGAGCATCTCTATCCATTTCTCTCTCACCATCATTGTGCCATCTTTCTGCTTCATCTCATTCTGTCTGCGTCTTTACAATCTGTGTGCCAGTTTGTGTGTGTTAGAGACAGAGCAGTAAAGAGCGAGGAGGTGTGGTGGTGGATAATGTGTGCAAATTTGTCAGGGAGCATCCTGTTCTGTATAACAAGTACACAGTGCTCTTCTGTCTTCTGTTGTGTGTGTCTACTCAAACCTTTACCTTCCTTAATTGGCTCTTTTTCATCCATCCATCCATGCATCCATCCCTCCCTTGGCTGATGGCGGTGTTGTGCAGAGAACCAGTGAATAATTTATCAGGCTGGCTTGTTCTGCCCTGCCCTGCTTTCCACTTTTGGCTTGTTGTAGTGCTGAAGAACATTTGGTGAAGTACACACATTAAGTATCAATAACTTATGCACAGTTGTACTAATTACCCACTGTATGTATGTTGGGCTAAACAGTAGGGATGTATCCATCCATTATCTATACTGCTTATTCTTGAATAGGGTCATGGGGGGGCTGGAGCCTATCCCAGCTGATACTGGGCAAGAGGAGGGGTACACCCTCCCAGTAGGGACTTAACAATACCAAACGATCAGGGTACAATTTTGCTACAATATAAAGTCCACAATACGATATTTATCGCGATAATGAAACATGAAGAAAAAAGATGAAAAATGCCCTTTACTTAATAATAAATCAGTGCTTTTTGTGTAATGTATATAAACAACAATGCAGCAGTCAGTAGCAGTCTTTTTGTGACATATCTTTTTGCAGTTGCTGGGTCTTGTAAATAAAACACGTCACACTCGCAGTGGCACATCAGTGTTTTACTACCCCCTTGGCAGGCTTAAAGTTGGTGGCTGTGCCGACTAGTGGTCAGGTCCTCGGTAGGCTACTAGACTAGCTGAAGTGGGTATCCTCTACCCCCTGACCACTTGGGGCTGTATAGAGCAGGTTGCTGCTTGGCACACCAGACCAAGGAGAAGAAGATGCCAAATTAGGATAAGCCACATAAAAGTGAGATTTGAGATTTACTGGCGGTGTTTTTCAAACATGGTGGTCTACTTAAGAGAAAAGACTTTAGCAGTTAGTGCTGTTGCACTCAATGTACACATACATAACTCATACTTCCTACTACGCTTGGGGAGTACTGATCTTGAAGTAGGAGCTAAAAGTGCCTCAAACTGGTGTTATAAGAACTATTATCTTTTTCATTTCCTCCGGTGCGGACAAACAAAAAAGGGGGAACTTTTTCCAATAGTTCTAAGAACTATGAAAATGTTCCTCCAGTCTGAAAGCACCCTAAGTGGTAGGTTTTGCATATGTGCGTCCTGTTTGCTTGCCCATCTCCATCCAAATGTTGTGCATAGTTTTGTCCCAACTCTTTCAGCGAGATGTATCCAGGACTGTCTCCGTCATAAACCTGGCTACCATTGTCTTCATCCAGCAGTATTTGCAAATTGTTCAGTGTTTGTCTCCTTTTCGTCCATGTCATTCCTTGAAACACAAAAGCTCTAAAAGTAAAAGATGGCACATTTGCTATGTCAGTGTTAATTTCTGCAACCAGCACATAGTTATAGTAACAAAATATATGTAGTCCCACCAAATTATTAAGACATTTTTAAATCACGATATCATGAAATTACAAATATTGTTACATCCCTACTAGACAGTCTATAATGGTGTTGCCCTGAAATATTAGCTTTAGACTACTAGAAGATGGTTGGTAACAATGTTAGAAAGTATTCTACAAGATGTGAGGAGGTCTTGCACCATATGCTGCAAAACTGATAATCAAAATTGAGAATCTTTGATGTTTGGTTTTCTAAAGATGCCATCTTTAAGCTTATTTAAATACCGAGTCTTATCCTCATGCATATACCCTTTTATCGTAAGGAGGAATAAAAGACACAATGTGTATTTCTGACAAGCCCCCAGGAATAGAGCTGCAGAATTTGATCCATTGAGTCAGTATCATTTAGAAAATCTACTTGAACCATAGGATGTTTATATTTTATACATGTGCGTGGGGAACCAACCAAAAGTTAACCAGCTCGATTGGCGGGAGTCTTGGTTTGATGCATGCGTGCATGCTCTATGAGCCCCCAAACCATGCATCTATTATTTAAACCAGGATCCCAGATTTCAGAATGGTGCCCATTGTTCCTAATGAATGTCGCTTACCTGGCACATGAGCCAAAGAAATTTATTTTTTTCGGATTTGCTTCCGTGTCCTGTGCCATTTTGCATATTCACGTTAGTGCAGAGCTTGATGCTTACATTTATTTTTAGGTGCGCTTATGTGACTAAATGAAACAAAATTAGTTGCATGGACAGCAACTTTGGAGCACAGTTAGTTTTTAATGAAATAGCATTAATGATGTCTGCGGACATTCATCAATTGAGGGGTCTCAACCACAGTTAGAGGAGGGAGCCAGATGTGAGGGAGAGGGTGGCCACATAGCTCCGTGCACATCTGTCAGGAGATAGCTGCACATTACACTTTAATGAAGATGGGCAAACAAACTGGATGCCTGTATGCAAAACCAACCACTTTAGTCACTGCCCTTAAAGTCTTTTATCTTGTAAAAGTTGACCACAATGTTTGAAAACACTTGTAATAAAGCACAAATATCACTGTTATGTGGCTTGTCCTAGTGTAGCCTATTTGGCATCTTCTCATTCTGATGCACCAAGCGGAAATTTGCTCATTACTGCCACTTGTGTTGTGCACAGCCATGTCCTGGCTGCTTCTGGAAGACAGAACTAACAACTGTGCACTCTGCTCCACTCTTCTTCCTGTCTCCATTGTCCCCTGTACATGATTGGTCAATGCACCATCTTTGCCAGATGATGTCACTGAACACTGGACGTGGAACTAGATCCAACTTTTGCGCTACACGAGATTGCATCATTTTGCCGGAGCCCTCTGTGGTGCTGGTGCCAGCTGTGATAAACACAGTTCCCCATAGAAATGAATGGAGAGGGCTGAGTTTGTTCACACCTTTTGAACACGGCCTTAAGCCCATTCGCTCAGTTAGCATTATGTATAGTAGCTTCATGGGTGTCTAACGAGCCTCACTGTGGTCCATGATGCAAGATTATGCTCTGTGTTTGTACTGTACTGCCATGAGCAAATTGTAGATTCTCCCAGAACTGCAGTTACCACACATCACCTGCAACCAGTTCACTATTTCTGCATCTTCTTTTTTCTTTTGATTTCTTGCATTATTTAAAACTCATCCACTACCTAAACATTTAAAACATTTTTTTAAATGCAACAGTTATTGAACAAATCTTTGGCAGGTGGTCTTTCAAAATAAAAGCCTAGCGCTTTGCCAGTGGAAGGTGTTAACCATAGATTAATCAAACGGCAGCACTGGCAGCTTGGAAATGATGAGCAGAGAAATAAAAGTCTGAACTACATTGACTCTTAAATCATGCACAAGTTACAAATCTGCTGAAAACTGAATATAGCAAGTCACCGTTCTTTGCAGTCACTTAATGTCTTGATTCAGTTAAGTTGAATGCACAGTGTACGGTATAATCAAGTACAACTTTGAATGTTCAGAGGTTTAACCAAATGAAGAGTGAGGTGGTGCACATGTTTCCAGCCTGTTTAACAAATGCAGAAACAGGCATAAATATTGAAGAGCAGATCCAATCACAATGTATGGATGACTCCAAATAATCAGACATAGAAATTTAAGGGCTTTACATAGAGTTTGGAGGATGGAGAAGCTTTCTAGAAAGAAAAGCCTAGTTAGAAAGTGCTCTGCATCCTGAGACATACATTTAAATTTTTTGAGGCCGTGTGTGTGGGTGAGAAAATGAAAACTGTGACAGACTCCTGTGTGACACCCAGCTGTCACATTTCATAGGGGAGCACTGTCGCTGGGTGATGTTAAGTGGGCAGAAGAAGTGTGTATCATAATTTGCAAGGATGGCCAGAGCCATTTCACCAGGGCAGCAGACAGTGCTCCTCATTCCTTTCTCCAGGACTGTCCTGGTACCAGTTTCTGACATTGAGACACACACACACACACACACACACACACACCGACCACTAGTATAGAATCCAATCTCCTGCCCTGTTTGTTTAATGGGTACTATTTTCAGAGATGTTTGCTTTCTAGGACAAAGAACCTCCATTAAACTCCTTTGGCTTTAATGGAGTCCCTGTATTCATTTTATTTTTTATCTCCTCCATTCTGTAAAACCTTCTGCATGACTGCAGTTATTTCTTCTGATGGCTTTTATGTACTTCTGTTGTGATCAGTTTTCTGTTTCTCTCAGTTGATCAGTGCCTTTGTGTCCCTTTCAGGTGTACCGGGGCCTGGACATCATCACCAATAAGGTGAAACCCGAGGAGCTCACCCAGTGCAGACATCACATGATCAGCTTTGTGGACCCACTAGTTAGCAGCTACACGGTGGTGGACTTCAGGAACAAAGCCCTGGCTCTAATATCCTTTCCTGGAAACGTGAAAGCAGAGGAGCCGTATTCACCGTAACACCTTTGTCAACGTATTGTCATCACCCTTGTCACAACATCAGCCCTCCCCATTAGTACGTGGTAACTGCAGGAGAATAAAATGTAGTTGATTTGACTTTTACTAATTGGTCTGCAGGTGTGTAGAAGATCTGCTATGTCCTCATTTTGTCAGCGTGTCTCACTGCAGATTTTGCACTAAAATGAGAAGAGAGAGATCACAAGAGATGATATTTATAGAGGAGTCTGTGTCTGTGCTGCGTCCACACACACACACACATGCACTGTGGGCAGTTACACTGTCTTGCAGACACCAGCCGTCACACAGATGTTGAGAGAGGAGGCGATAACTGGAGACGGTATTAATAGATCAGGATGGCACGCACACAAACACACACTCAGCCACCAGTGCGGCGGGGGGGTGGGGTGGTGGTGGTGCAGTAGCTCCAGGAATAGGCTCAGTGCAGTGTGAGCCTGCTGTTGGGAAGAAAGGAATGGAAGGAGATGAAAACAGATTAAAAAGGATAGAAACAGTGTGGACTTTAATCTGTGAAGCAGGAAAAAGATGATGGGGGGTGTGGAGGGGTATTTGTCAGTGTGTATATAATAGAAGAGACTGGCAAGCTTGAGAAATTCAAATATGATGGACATAATGAAGCTTCATCTGCTGTCAGTCCTCCTTCTCTCAACATGCCACTCACTTAAACACTCTCCTTTTAAAACCCTCCTCTGTTTCTTTTTTTATGCCTCTCAGTCTTTGTTCTCCCTCCCTCAGTTTTTCCTCTCCCCCATCTCCTGCGTCTCTCCTCTGCAAACACAGTGATACTGCCCTGTCAGTCTGAATGTGGCCTTTGAGCGACCGAGAGGAGGTGAGTGACGATGGCTTAATTATCACTGATACAAGAAGGTGGGCGACCTGAGGGAGGGAAGAGGGGAGAGATGGAACGGTATAAGATGAGAAAGAGGAAATAAGGTGTGGCATCAGGCTCTGTTTGTGTGGCCAGTGAGGTCATACTGGTGAACCAAACTGCGTGGCTGATGCTGTTTACAATGAAAGGACAGTATTCACAATTTTGCTGCAACTGATTATTTTCATTATTAATAGTCACATATATCAGTCAGTCAGTTAATCCATCATTATTTGGTCTATAAAATTGTACATTTATAAAATGCACACCAAGACTTCCCAGTTGCCCAAGTTGATGTTATCACATTGCATTTTCCAAAAGTAACCATCTTTTTAGATGGTGGAAAACAATGTAAAAAATGTGATGGGAACATGGCATTTATGTTAGTTTCATGTATTAATCTCAGGGACGTTACCTCAACCCAGATCTGATGTCATCTCTTCAGGAGTGCCAAATAATATTTTTCACACATGATGATTTATTCGGTTTTCATCGCACCTGGTCTCAATTTATTTTTATTGATCCAACAAATTTTTCCACCATTCTCATGGTTAAAAACTTATTTGTCATATTTAGACTTTTTTTCCAATATTGCTCTTTTTAAAATATGGATAAAAGTAGTTGGTGTATACACCGTTATAGCAAGATGCTTTAATTTAAGGAGTCACAGATGAAAAAGGGAAAAGAAAAGAAGAAAATATTCACATTTAAGAATTTGAAACAGTTTGCCTTTTGCACTTTTCTTCTGCTAAATAAGATCTGAACCAACTTAGTGCAGTTCCTTTAATCCCAATAACATGTTCAAGTCTCTGCAGTAAGATGCTGTGATCAATGGTGTCAAAAGCAGCACTGAGATCTAAGAGGACAAGTATGGAGACAAGTCCTTTGTCCGAGGCTAGGAGAAGATCGTTGGTGACTTTCACCAATGCGGTTTCTGTACTATGATGGACTCTAAATCCTGACTGAAAATCCTCAAACAAATCATTCTTGTGCAAGTGGTCACATAACTGCTTTGCAACAGCTTTTTCAAGGATTTTGGAAATAAATGGGAGATTGGATATTGGTCTATAATTAGCTAGGACACCTGGGTCAAGAGTAGGCTTTTTGAGTAGAGGTTTAATTACTGCAAGTTTAAAAGCCTGTGGAACATAACCTGTTAATAGAGAGAGGTTAATCAGATCTAGTATGGATGTGTTGATTAGGGGAAAGACGTCTTTGAGCAGCCTGGTCGGGATGGGGTCCAGGAGACATGTTGATGATTTAGATGAAGCAATTGTTGAGGTCAACTCAGAGAGATCTATAGGGGAGAAGTAGTCCAATAAGTCCATATGTTCATTCATATTAAATGACTACATGTAAGAGTGTGTCATCCTCTCAGCTGCACTGCATTAAGATACTCTAAGCGCTGAGTAAGAAAATTCACTCTGACAGAGACTGAGTTCAAACTGCTGTTGCTGCAGCGTATGATTGACTTTTAGTGGTTTAGTGGTTTTAGTGGTCTTCCTTGTCAAGTATTTTGCTGAGGCTTCTACTTTGACAGTATTGATGCATGGAATCCTTAAAAGACTCTTCCATCATGTTGAGACTTTCGCTGATTTCCTGCATTTCTCTTTGTTTTGATCCTTGAACACTGCTTTGCAGCACATTTCTAAAGACATGTTACTCAGTTTTACATTACTTACTTTTTTCAAGGTAAATATTTTGAAATATATGTTTGCATAAGTGTCTTGTTCTTGGTGTTATTTTGTCACTGTATTTCAAGTATGAACATTGAAATCATAGAGGCAGAAAACTCAGTTATGTCTCCTCTGGGTTCTCACAGTTTTCTCGAATATGCATGTAGTTTAAAAGCAGTAGCCGACTTATTTTTTTTTTTTACATGAACAGCACTTTAGCACCTTCAAAGCGGAAGAACTTTTTCATAGATCATAGAACTGTTGGACAAAGTACCCCCTTTCTTTTGTGTTTGCAACACAGGCACTCAGAATGATAATAGCTCTTTGAACATTGTTTTGAGGTATTTTCAGGGTGGGTGCTCTTCAAGCACAATAGGAACCATGAGTTGCGCACGTGTATGTTGACTGCAGCACACTAACTATCACTTTTTAAAATCCCTGTCAGCCTTGTAATCAGTATCGATCACTAGCCATCACTGACAGCATGGGCAGCTGCAGTCTGCCAACAGAAACCTCTGCAGAGGGTTAGTGACTCATATAATTAATGTTAGCAACATATAAAGAAAATGCTTACTGGTAATGTAACATCACTGTGTGTTTATCTGTTGCTGGCTTGTTACTAACAGTCCACCAGCTTTTAATGTTACATTACTTCAGTGTTTCTACTGATGGTGTGAATGCAAACAAAAAAACACCTGTGAAGGTGTGTGGTTCTTGGGGGAGCTCTCCAGTGGGGTAGTTCCTAGAGCTAAGTCCCTAGACCTGTTTAGTCTGAAATCACCTTTTGGAGATTAGTTCCAGGAGCTAAATTTCAGCATAGCTCAGGAGGTAGTACTAAATCAAGTTCCAGGAACTCATGGGGGAGAGGGGTTGGGCCCTCACAGGGCTGTCGCCCTTGATTGCTTAAATGTGAGTTGTCACATCTCAAGTGTAACGAGCACAATGTGTGAACATACACTCACTAGTTTAGAGGTAAAATGGGGAATTAAGCGAGATGACCACAAACAAAGCAGCGATGACACATTTATGCAAGGTTGTGTTTTGCTTGTTCGACAGCTGTTTGACAAACTGCTCATACAGTCTCCCTTACTGGCAGAGTTTGTTGCACGCCTAATCAATGTGTATTGTGGTTGTTGACTTGACGCTTTCTGCTCAGCTCTTTGTGTGAGGAGCAAAGCTCCCTGTGTCAACAATGACTGATAGAAGGAGCAATACAGTGATAATGCACAGCAGAATGGACTACATCAGCTCGTTGGATCATGGGTATGGGAAGCTCCAGCTTGTTAAGTTCCTGTGGTGGAAAAATGCTATAAATAAGATGAACAAGTCATCTCAAAATGTTTTGAATTGTGGTGCATTCAAGTAAATTCTTTGAGCATGGAACTGTTCACAAACATAAATGTATGCAGATCAGTTTTCTCTTTAACACACTCCAACATAGATGACATGCACAGCAGAAACAAACTGCCAGTCATTGTAGGAGGAACAAATTATTTCATTGAGTCTCTGCTGTGGAAAATCCTGCTGGATACTGGGGTGAGTGTCATAACTATACAACACAAATACATGTTGTCCTCTGTGCCTTTGACATGATTTAGCGCATTAGGCCACTGCAATGCACCACAGTGTGTGTTGCGTTCAGTACTGGTGGATGTTGTAAAACGGTGTGACTTTGGTTCAGTTCCTCACTTGCTTGTTAATTCTGACCCAAAGCTTGTAACTTGTAACAGGACACATGTATTGTGTTAAGAATTTGAAAGCACGAGTTTAAGATCAGTATTTGTGGGCAGCTTTGGTCAGTTCTAAAACCTTAAATGAAATGTCTCTCACAGCAACAGAACGAGAACTTGGGGGATGGAGGAGATGGAACTCCAGACAGGAAAATGGAGCTGGAAAGACTGGGTGGAGCAGAGTTACACAAACAACTGGAGAAGGTGGACCCCAAAATGGCTGCCATGTTGCACCCCAATGACAAACGCAAGCTTGCCAGGTGAATACAGCTAGTAGTATCTTCATTGGTGTACTTGTTACACCGGATAGTTAGTAGTCATCAGCTTTTTGTGGTGTGTATTTCTAGAAAACTAATATAATTTTAGAATAACGTTCTCCAGATAGTGTAGTTTCTCTTCATTCTTCAACTGGTCAGGTCTAAGTTATTTATCAAAACTAACTTCTATATTTAAATAGAACAAGTTTCTATAGAAATGTTAGCAAGATGAAATAACATCCAACCTTTTATAGCTGTCACTGTTATTTGTTTATATTTTGTTAATATTTGTTGCTCTTGCAAGCTAGGTAAATATAGTAGCTAATAGCAAAAGAAATACTAGCAACCTGGGAATTTATTTATTTATATTTTTTTTGTAAAACAGTTTTTCTTTCCCTTAACAAACACTGTTGCCTAGTCGAAGAGTTAGCTGCTGGCTAAGCCAGCAAAACCCTTCATGTTTTTTCTTGGTCTTTTCTTCATTCTCACTTTCTTGCTACATAATGTAATTGAATTCTGGATTGTAACACAATGTTGAAGCTCTTTTTTCTATGCCTCAGTGCCAGCAGTAGTCATGGCCAGAGCAATTATGTTTTCATGTTGCGTGTCCTGCAGTACATCCATCTGGCTTATTCTTGTGAACGCATTATCTCAGGAACACCTTTGGGGAATTTATTCAAATTTAGCACAAGTGTTCACTTGGACTGAAGGATGAACGGATTAGATCTTGGTGGTCAAAGGTCAAGGTCACAGTAAGCTCATGTCTATCCCATTCCTTTAAATTTGACTGGTTGGCAGAGGCATATAACCACAAAGTGGTAATTTAAGGGCATTAACTAAAAATTAAGTGTGTAGTTATATTAGTAACAGTGAGAGCCACAAACATGTATACCTGTCAGTTTCACATAAAAATAACCTCCATATTAGCTCTTGTATTTAATAACGTATTTTGGCTGGAAATGTGTTACATGTCTTTATGCTGGTGCTTGTAATTCAGCAAGATTTTGCCAAAATTACTGCATTTTAATGAGTGCATAATTTTTTTGTGTGTGCATGAGTGTGGCACAGTATTTTTGAGATTTCTGTGAGATTGAGAATTTTCTAAGGTCCTCAAGGCCTGACAGTCACAATATAAGGCCTGCATGCAATCTACGCTGACAGAGTGAGACTTCAAACCTTGATGTGTTAGGCTACTCTGCTCTTCTAGATGACCAGAGACAACAGAAATCAGCTTTACATTATCACCTACAGTGGGTACGGAAAGTATTCAGACCCCCTTAAATTTTTCACTCTTTGTTATATTGCAACCATATGCTAAAATCATTTAAATTCATTTTTTTCCTCATTAATGTACACACAGCACCCCATATTGACAGAAAAACACAGAATTTTTGACATTTTACCAGATTTATTAAAAAAGATATACTGAAATATCACATGGTCATAAGTATTCAGAC